GTTCGTCCCAAAAAACTGTCGGCATGCAGGAAGGATAATATATACTAGACGGGACAAGCATAATAGCATGCACATGCGTATAGGCTCTGCGTAAATGTGTGTATGCGATATATATATATATATATCAGGAGTTAATGAGAGCAACATAATATTTGCAACTCACGTTGTGTTTGTGTATGCATTAGCTACTAAAATCTATACTAGCATCTAAACATGCAGTGTTCACGAATCACGCGTCAGTCACGCGCTGTAGCTTACGTGAATCACGCATCTGTTGTGCGCATAAATCTTACGTCAATCACGGCATTGTTACGCATAAAGCTTGCGTTAATCACGCATCTGTTGCGCATAAATCTTACGTCAATCACGCATCTGTTACGCATAAAAGCTTGCGTTAATCACGCATCTGTTACGCATAAAGCTTGCGTGAATCACGCAATCTGTGCGCATAAAAGCTTACGTGAATCACGCATCTGTTGCGCATAAAGCTTACGTGGAATCACGCATCTGTTACGGCATAAAGCTTACGTGAATCACGCGTCAGGTCACGCATAAAGCTTACGCGAATCACGCATCTGTTGCGCATAAAGCTTACGTGAATCACGCATTCTGTTACGGCATAAAGCTTGCGTGAATCACGCGTCAGTCACGCTAAATCTTACGCGAATCACGCATCTGTTGCGCATAAAGCTGCGTGAATCACGCATCTGTTGGCTTGCGTTAATCACGCATCAGTCGCGTGCACTGGATTCGTGAACACCAACCATCACCACGTGTATATAATGCACGAATCACGCTTCAGTTACGAATTATAATGAAGTGGCACAAGGTCGACAATTTAAGTATGCGCGGTAAAACACGTTTGAAACCAGAGACCCTAGAACAGATGTTATGTTTTCAATGTCTTTAGTGTTCTATATTGTCTCCGTTTAAACTAGCCTAGCTGACCGGAACAGCACAACAATAATCAAGATGGATGGACGTGGTTATCTCGTTCTGACTCTTAGGTCTTTCCAACACTAGCAAACTGTCTGATCTCTACTGATATCCATTATTGAACTACCTAAGCCACATAATAGGGTATATAATATATATATACTTCTGATATATATATATATATATATATATATATATATAATATATATTATTGTTAGTGTTTTTTGGTGACCGGTGTTTTAGTTTCAACTGTTTCTACATGTCAGCTAATGCCAGCAATAACCTATAGAGAGTAAGTCTATATGTTACGTGTCAAAATACTTAAACCAACTTCGTTTAAATTTATATAAATTCGTTAGCGTCCGTTTTGTTCTTCGATGGTTAAGAGTTACGATGTATTTATAAAATAAATAAAGGCAAGCTAGCTGTCCTGTATGTAACTGTAGCGATGGCCTGCTTGGGAATGAGCATCCATACTGACGTGTGCGCGTTATCAAACAGATGAAAATGTCCTGCACCCCGAAGATCGCTGCGACCCGCAATAAAAATGTACACAGGGGTTTCATATAACATCGCGCTGACGGTTTAAGTTATCATTGAATGTTATATAAACAGATATGGATACCTGATGCTCTAGAAATCCATGCACAATGCCAGATTTGAATGTAGTTATATGATGATTTTAATATAGACACGCATGTAAGTTATATCTGTATATATATATAATATTATAAGTATATTCATGTCGATACGTACTATGCAGTGAGCCATGAAAGCTTTGTATGACAATGTAGTAATTCCGGAATAAAAAACACAGATCGATAACATTATTAGGCGTGTTCATACACAAGAAAACCGCGATGCTAATGCGCGATGAAATACTGAGATAATTGTGTCGTTGTTCACACAGGCGAATAATCGCGCTAATCGCCGAGCGGGATAATTCTATTAATCGAACTGCGCATGCTCCCCACTGCGAATGATGCTCACGGCGCATGCTCACTGCTCACTCGCTTGGAATGATGGAGAATAGAAAAACCGGGATTATTGCGCGGAGCGTTCACCACACGCAAATAATCGCGCTAATACAAATAATCGCAGTCCAATTTACAATCAGATATACAAACGTGGAATGGCTGTCGCAATAGCTTTGACATTAGACACACGACAGCAGAACGCGACAAAGGAGCGCGCTAACGCTACGCAACGACATCAGAACGCGACAAGAGCGTTAGCGCTAGCGACGACGCAAGTGAGAGCCGCCGTTTGCTACGTACCTGCGTGAGATGTGACCACAACTATGGCGGCGGAGAGTAGTAAAGCAGCCGTGCGGTACATCGCAGTTGTCGTCTCGTCTGCGTCGCTTTCCGGCTCCTCTGCCGCCTGCCGTCGACTATGATCCCTCCGGCAGCACTCTTATTACAACACTGAGCCGACAGCTCTCACGTCGATCTATGCGTCGACGCTCCGTGAATGGTCGCCGCACGCGGCGCATGATCGACTCTGCGCGCAGCCGCCTAGATGTGGAAAAGCGCTGCGGCTAGACAGGTGGGGCAGGAGATCTGAAGGTCTTCGCTATCAGATTTGTTTATGTGTACGTGTGTTGCTAAAGGAGCGCCGTGTCGAGCGAAGCTGGCGTGCTGCCCGCGGCGAATCGTGTCGTTGATTGATGATGATGATGATGATGATGATGCTGTTGTCATCGATGCTGGCTTTGCTGCTGCTATTGCTGGTGTCATCGTAGTCGGTTTCATCATTAAAACAATACTATATTAAATTATATGATGATATTTTATTAATATTTACACTTTTACATTTATAAATATTACCATTATTTGTAGTGATTTCTGTAGTTGTTGTTGTTGTTGTTGTTGTTGTCGTCGTTGTAGTTGTAGTAGTAGCAGTAGTTGTTATTGTTGTTGTTTGTTGTTGTTGTTGGTCTGTTGACAGCATTTCATCATCGTGCGCATCGGTCGCCGGTGCTGACGCCAGAGACCATCATCACGCGCTGTTGTACAAATGCGACGCCACCAGCACGACGCTGCACACGATGGCGCGCCACTTCTAACACAACGTGACGCGTCTGCTGTCATTGCACAGCTGGCCAGTCACAGTAAGCCACTATCGTCATCGTTCCCGTCGCCCGTCTCTCCGAACTGCGCCTCACCGTCGCTGTCGACCTGCTTGCGAGCGCACGACCGGCGTCACCTCCACCACAGTCATCTGCGAGAGAGAGAATACGTCATCAATAACTAATCAAACAGATCTTATCAGTAGTTAGCGTGCATGCCTGCCGATATAGTGAGTTGGCCTTTGTTGTCACACAAGTCACTGAGTCAGGCATACACACATACACACATACACACAACACACGCCACGCACACGCGCACGCGCACGCGCACGCAACACAAACACAAACACAACACAAACACAACACACACAAACACAAATCAACGCACAAACGCGCAACGCACAAACGCACGCGCACGCACACACGCACGCACACACACACACACACACACACACACACACACACACACACCACACACACACACACACACACACACACACACACACACACACCCAACGCACACACACACACAGGTTGATGTGTGCGGTTACGCAGCGTCGTCGCACGCAGGGCCGTACGTTTGACAAACTCGGTGACGGTGAGACACTGCACGCATCCCGTCACTCGCGTTACATCTCGGGGAACGAACGGCTCGGGCGCAGCTCTCCGACGATTTCGGCGGTGACACACTTCGCATTCCACCCGCACAGGTAGCAGTCAAACGCCGTCACACCTGCAATATACAATAGTTGACATGTCCTTTTTTTACGCGTGCACGTATTGTTGAGCGTAATGTTATATACATACATATATAATTAATATGTATATATACGTGTGGTGTGTGTGTGTGGGTGTGTTTGGTGTGCGTGCGTGCGTCGTTGCGTGCGCGCGCAGCGTGCGTGTGGGATGTCTGTGAGAGAGAGCGAGAGAGATGGAGAGAGGAGATAGAGTGACATAGCATGACAGAAGTGAAACGGGAGGGAGCGAAAATGCACAATTCTTTCATTGCAATACGCATATATATGTCATACATACCCGTACTGCGCTACCTAGCGCCAATAAAAGCGCACTAGTGCTATCCAACTGACATATCTGCGAATAAACATACGGAAATATATACACAAAGCATACCCATGGAGACAGTTTGACGTGATTACTACTCCCGTGTGCACTACAAGCTGATTTAAAACCATCAGTTGACATTATTGATCTGTTCTACCATTCCACTGATTATAGAGACATGATGATACGTAAAACGCACACTTAAACGCACAACGCACGCGCGCGCACGCACGCACACACGGCACACACACACACACACACACACAACACCACACGTGACAACCGGATTCACCACAGCGAGCCAAATTAACACACTAACATGTAATTAGTGCACAACCATGGACACGTGTGCCGACCGCAGACGCCATTACGTCGAATCAACAGCTAACCTCCGCGTAATGTCGCACACCGGCAGGCACGACCGTGCATGAATTAAATGGAAATTATATTATATAGTATATATATTATATATATAAAACTAATATTAATATATTATATATATAACTACATAACATCATATATAGTATACATATACACATACACATACATCTAATAACTTATATATTAAACTAGATAATTATATTGGTGGGGTGGGGTTGGTATCACTTGGGAGCAGCTGATCATGAGTAGGAGGGCATACTGAGAATGCACGAGGCTAGATGCACATGTGATCATGTAAATGGCTTCTATATCGAGACAACCTGACTAGACCACTCACGCACACATGCACGCACTGACGCACGCTGCACGCACTGATTCATCATGCACACATGCATGCACGCACGGGCGCGACCACACATACACGCAGCAACGCACGCACACTGGGACGCACAAATACGCATACGCACACACGCACGCCCGGACGCACAGAACATGTACGGACGTACGCACACAAGCCATACGGTATACTATATCTACGTACCAATCGCGTGACGTCGTCTGCCTTACACGGCGGCCATCATCGCTGCGGGAAAAGCCTCTCCTTGGAAACTCACGTAAGCTGCCGATGCTCTCAGTCACTCACGCAGCCAGTCGCTATAGCGTGCGTGAGGAAGTGCTAGCCAGCAACGGCCATCTTATATCGGAATCTCTCCTCCTCAGACCGTGTGCGTGCGTCGTGTTAGTAGATCGATGTATGAATCGGCGGCCGTCGCATAGATTGCTGCGCGCGGGAAATACAACGTAGCTTGTGTTGCAGCAGCCTCTACAGCATCCCGCATCTATTTTAAGCTTGTTAAGCGTAGTGGCGGCTCACGCGTGACCGATATATTATAGGCCTATGTATGCCAGACTAGTGGTGGTTCGTTGATGAGGAGGATGGGGAAACGCGGAGGAGTAAGCCGGGGATCGATGCTATCCGTTAGTCTGTGATGCTAGCTCAAACTGCATGCAGTGCACCTTCGTACACTCAGGATGCCACTGCCACAATGTTAGCACTATTTTTAAAGTGGGCGGAGCCCCGGGAAAATCCAGCGAATGGAGATTCGTAAACAGCGCATGATTTGAAAGTAGTAAATGGGCGCACAAGACGAGCACTATTTCGTATCACTATTTTATCAAATTTTTCATAAAATAATGGTTGAATTTTTAAAATCTTTGCAACTTTTATTTGTCCAAATCTTATTACATAGGATACGAGTAACGTGGCTGCTGTAAAACTTGTAGTAAAAAAGCGTTACAATTTGCAACGGAAATCTGCTTGTGGCAGTGGTAGATTGAGCCCATGAGACCATAAATATATACAGCACAAATATATATTGTATATATTTACATTGTTTATATTACAACATATACAAGTATATGTTGTATATATCTATGATGAGACCTCTCTCCCGCCACCCCTAGCAGACTACCCACACACTCATGTTCTCCTCATCTATTGCTCTGCTGCTTGTTATAGTGTGAAGCCGGGAGCGTTACAGTGAACAGGATTATATATATATATATATATATATAATTAATACTATATATATATATATATATAGCTCTGAACATAATCGCTTGAATCCATGCTATATATATATGTCTATATATATATATTAATATATATATATATATTATATTATATATATATATAGCAGGCCCGTAGCCAGGGGGGTTCGGGGTTCGAACAAGCCCCCCCCGAGCCCCCCCCCCAAGTAAAAAATAATAATTTTGAAAATTTGCAAGAATTCACTCAGGTCGCTCCATTTTAGTGTAATAATTGCAAAATCTCCATCGTGGCGGAGGGTGAACAGTGAACACCACCTCCCACACCCTCCCCACCGCTCGGTCTCTTGCTCCCTCGCCTGGTCGCTTCGCACCGAGGCAGGGGCGTGTACGGGGGGGTCCAGGGAGTCCGGACCCCCTTCACGTGCTCGAAACTTTGGGTTACGGTTAGACCCCCCCCCTGGTACAGAATCCTGTACACGCCCCTGCCCGAGCAAATTGCCAACATTGAAAAACGAACCCCCTCCAATATAAAGCTGGCTACGGGCCTGTATATAGCATGTGTGTCAAGCGATTATGTTGCAACACTTGCTACACAGCATAGCAGAACATTTCACATGCGTCTAAACAGAGTAATTGCTCCGACCTGTGATTGGAGGATAAAAATAGACCCGCCCACTTTTCCATTTTGAGGATAAAAATAGATTCGTGACGTTTCGTTTCACCGGTCGTAGCGCGCGTGCATATTTGCTAATTTAATTAGACTAATCGCGCTTCAATAGACTCAAAATTCACAGAGATTAAGGCTAAGACATGTGAATGTGACATGTGCTAATCCGGAGGGACGGTCTACATTAAAAGATTCTCGCGTCTAGACGGTATCTCGATTATCGCTCCGCCCAGAGTCTAGTATTTGATTAATCGCAGACGTAAAGCGGCAAAGAAAGCATCGATCTGTACGTCGATACAGCGATAACAGCTGATGTTTACGAAGACCACGTTGGTATAGATTTAACGAAAATTCAATATGAGCTTGTAATCCTATTGGATAGCGGACATAGTTTAGGCTAACGCTCCATTAGGAGTGTTCCCAACTTTGATATCATTAATGATTAATGATTAATGATTGCATAATCCTAACCCTAACCCTAACCCTAACCCTAACGCTACGCTAACCCTAACCCTAACCTAAATGACATTAAACCACAAACTAATATATATATATATATATATATATATATATATGTTATTATGACCATTAATGACATTAAATTTGGGAACACTCCTAATGGAGTATCACCCATAGTTTAGGTAAGGTAAGTCGAACGATAAGGTATGAAATGTCTTCGAGACAATGCAAGGTAGGTATTGTGTGGTCCGCCTTTATTTGGAGGTCAAGGTCAAACGATGGTGATGACATTCTAGGAAGATATCTATGGATTCTAGTATATTATGATTGGATGTTAAAGAGAGTCAACATCACTCGCCGTGCGTTACGTCTAAATCAGAGCAATGACCTTCAACAATCACCTAGCTGTTTACGTTGCCGACATCCGTGCATCAAACACTCCACGCACTGCCCGAAAGCCTCACACAAGAGACACTCTGCGTACAGCCCGAAGGCATCGCATAAGAGGGGAGAAGACAGGGGCCCAGGGCTGTGCGTGTTGGCAGACGATGTATCTGTGATGATACGGCGATGAAAAACGCAAGCGGTAATTATATATATAAGTATATATATATATATATATTATATAATATTATTATATATATATATCAGGGGTGGATCCAGGGCTGAAGCTAGACAGTATTTCCAGATTTTTAAGGGCATCCCCACAAAAAGGGCACACCACGCCCCAGTGGGCGGCGTCAGGCGCGAAGCACATGGCGGGGGGTCTGGGGGCGCCCCAGGATAAATTTCAAAATTTCAAGGGTCGCCTGCGCACAAATAAGAAGCACATTGTGAGCACACATTTAGTCAAGCAGCAATAGCTAAAACATATGGCATTTATTTCTGCTTCGATCTTCGTCTGCGCTTTTGCATACTAGCAATTAAATGCAGAATGATTCGAAGACTTTCCCTTCTGTTTTCAGATTATTTAAGGTAGATTGTGTTACATGTAAAATTTTGATTTCCGTTTCAAGTCCTGTGC